ACAAAGCTAAGTAAGTGTTTAAGGCAGACATTCCACACTCCTAATCCAGGACTCTAACCCCCATGCCACCTACTTTACTATATAAGCAAAAAACAAATTCATCCATTGGCTGTATCTGAAAATGTGTATCTCATTCTGCCCCCTTGTTCCATGCCTCTCTGCCAAGAGGTGGAAAGCATCCTTCCTCATTAGTTTTCTTTTCTTTCTTTTTCTTTTTTGCAAGGTAAACAGGGTTAAGTGACATGCCCAGGATCACACAGCTAGCAAATGTTAAGTGTCTGAGGCCAGATTTGAACTCGGGTCCTTCTGACTCTGATGAGGTGATGGGACCTAGACCCTGAATTTTCCCATGCATTTCAGCAGCCCAGATCACTGGAGTCTCACCCAAAGCAACTGGCCCACCCCAGCCCATCTAGATCACCTAATTAACTTACTTGACATCCTTTCACAGTGCTCTTGGCCCACTCCAGACTACTTGCATATACCTTAATCCCGTCTATATCACCTAATTAGCCTACTTGATGTTCTTTCAAGGTTGCACCTGACCCACCCTAGACTCCTTACCACTCTTTAATCCCATCCAGATCCTTTCACTGTCCTTTTTGTAAATAAGCATCAGTCTCACCCTCATTGAGTCAAAGATTCACTAGGAATCTCACCCGGCTCCTATTGATGTTACAATAAACTGCCCCACTGACTGGTAGATTATTTGAGTGTATGAATTCTTTCCAGGCAGACTCATCCTGTACTCTGACATTTTGAAGTTACCAGCAATCCCAAACTGCATCATCGGGGTTCCCAGCAACCCCACTGTGCCACTTAGCTGCCCCCCTCATTAGTTTTCTGAAGTCATGATTGATTGGCAGTTGCATTCATCATAGCTTTTGAGTTTTTAAGTTTTTTCCCCCATTATATTATTGTCGTCATTGTACACATCGGTTTGCTGATTTTCTTCACTCTGTTCTGCTTCAGTTCATACAAATCTTACGGGTTTTCTCTGTATTTCTTTCATTATTATTGTTATTATTTTTGTGAGGCAGTTGGGGTTAGGTGACTTGCCTGGAGTCATACAGTTAGTATTATGTGTCTGAGGCCAGATTTGAACTTAGGTCCTCCTGACTCCAGGGCCAGTGCTCTATCTGCTGTGCCAACTAGCTGCCCCTCTTTCATTATTTTTCACAGTGCAATAGATTCCCAATATTCACAAACCACAATTTATTAAACCACTCCCTAATGTGGAATAAATAAAGTGGACACCCACTTTATTTTTAGTTCCATACTACAAGAAAAATCTACTGTCTTTGACATGTTTGCGGTATGTTGGTATTGTAGGGTCAAAGGATATGAACATTTAGTGACATTTTGGTTATAGCTCCAAATTGCTGGTGTCCTTAGTGTTTCTGTCCTCCCGCAGCTCCTCTAATAATCATTATTTTTATTTTTCATCTTCTTTGCCAGTCTGATGGGATTTGGCAATGAAGACTAGGGAGTGTGCTGGAATCAACTCAACATGTTCAACCGTTGCTAAATTTTCAACGTGAGCATTTCTACCTCAGAAATTACTACAAATCAGGGCTTGATGTACTGTTTTGTTGATTGTCTAAACTTAAGAAACTGTTAATAATGCAGATAAAACTTAAAAGTATGTTGTATACATTCTCCCCCTCCAACTCCCCCCCAGAACCTGGTTGTTAAATATTTACCAGAACACCTTTCTATTGCTCTATAAACATTCCTTGAGCTCAGCAGGAGTAAAATAGAACACTCAGGGAGTAAAATCATTACAAGATTGGAGGCAATAATAAACAAAATAATAATGATAATAATAATAATAACTGGCACTTATATAGGATTTTAAGATGTGCAAAATGCTTTATATTCATTATAAAATAATATAATTGGATATATATTACATCCATTATATATAATAATATAATAATATCCATTATCTGAGCCTCACAACACTCCAGAGTGAGGTGGAACCTCAGGGTCATTTTAATTTGCATTTCTCTTATCAGTGATTTGGAGCAATTTTCCTATAGCTTGCAGTTCTTTTGAAAATTGCCTGTTTATATCTTTTGACCGTTTATCTACTGAGAAATGGCTCCTGCTCTAATGTTTGCATCAATTCTCTATATATCTCATATATCAGACTTTATTAGAGAAATTTGCTGCAAAGATTTATTTTTCCCCAGCTGTTTCCCTTCTAATTCTGACAGCATTGATTTCCATTTTATGTAGCCAAATTTTCCTTTGTATCTTCAGTAATCCTCTCATTTCCTTGTTTGGTCAAAAACTCTCCTCCATCCACAGCTGTGAAAAGTATTTCCTTCCTGTTCCTCCAATTTGTTTACTCTGTGACCTTTCATTTCTAGGTGGTCATGTGTCTACTTGGAGACCACTGTGGCATATCGCGTGATGCTGGCCTCATTTCTGCCACACTGCTTTCCAGTTTTCCCAGGTTTTGTTGACCAGGAAGTCTTTTACCCCAGTAGTTGGTTTCCTTGGGTTTATAAAACTCCATGCAACTATATTCAGTTGCTTAATTTAATCTGTTTCACTGACCAACTTCTCTACTTTTTAATTAGTACTGAATAGTTTTGATGATAACTCCTTTGTAGTGTGGTTTGAGATCTGGTACCATCGAGATGCTGCTGTCCTGCAACAATTCTTGGTGGGGTGGCTGGGAGCAGGTCCCTCCCTCTGCTTAATTTATGGTTTCTCCCTGCCTCTGTTTCCTGGTGGCCCAATACAGGCGGTGCTTTGGTCCTCGTCTCAGTTTCCTTCTTGTAAACCGCAAAGAGGGAGCTGGCTTTGTCTCTTGCTTTTTGGCATGTTCGGTCCCCAGCAGGAGATTGAGCTGTTTTCATATTTCCTAGAGGGCTACCTCACTCTTCACTTCTGTCACTCACTATCAAATGTCTATATGCTTTGCTGTCTCTTTCCCTCCTTTGTCCCCTGCTGTACCTCTTTTTAAGGGCTCAGAGGCATATATGCTGCTTGGCCCCTGAATCCCTGGGAAGTGACCTACTAGGGGACTGGCTTTCTCTTACTCCCCATTTACATTCCCCCTCCCCACACACATACACCCACTTCTGACAAGCCAGCTGAGATCCCACTAGCACTACACTCCACCACTCTCCCAGGCTTCTGGTTATCTGGGTGTTTCCTTTTCATATCACCATCTTACTTGGAAGCACCTTGAGTGATGTTTGCATAAGCACCAGTCCTAAACACATATGCCATCAATATGCCAGGATCAAGCTTCCCTGACCCTTTTCTCAATTGACTCTGATAAGATCCCTATAAAAATCCACTCCACTCCACTCCCCCCACATTGGGCCCGTATCTCCATCCAAGACCCCAGCAGACTGCCCTGTGCGTCCATCCTCCCCATATGCCCCTGTACTGTATGAGTGTCCTGCCTACTCCCCATTCCACCTTCCCCTGACATAAAGCCTTCTTACTGCATTTTCTGGGTCTGTCCCCATTGTATATTGTGTTTTAGTTTTGTCTAGTGGCTTCCCAGACAGGCCAGCTTGCCTCAAAAACATGAGCCGTAGGCCAAGGCTGCCACTAGCATTTGGTAGCCATTCCTATTTCCCAAGTTTTTTATTTAGGGAATATGGAGATCGAGGGTGAATGGAGAATCATGTGCCTCATGGGCTGGGTCCCATTTCTCCCTAACACCACAGCTGTGACTAGGTGCACCTCACACTTTTCCCCCGCTAACATAAGAGATAAGGGAAATTACTGCCTTTCACTATATAAGATTTTGGTATTCCAAACCTTCATAAGTCTGTATTAAGATAAAGGCCTTCTAGTCCAATCCTTTTACTTTACATTAGAGGAAGCTGAGGCCCAGATAGGTTAAGTGACTTTCCCAAGATCACCCAATTAGTAATTATTAGAGGTAATGGAAGAGAGTCCTCTTTATCCAGAGCCTAAAGTTGCCAAGTTGCCTAAAGCTAAACTTTGTTGTTGTTCAGTCATGTCCAATACTTTGTGATCTCATTTGGGGTTTTCTTGGCAAAGTACTGGAGTGGTTTGCCATTTCCTTCTCCAGCTCATTTTACAGATGAGGAAACTGAGGCAAACAGGGTGAAGTGACTTGCCCAGGGTCACACAGGTAGTAAGTAAGGACAGATTTGAACTCAGGAAGATGAGTCTTCCTGATTCCAAGCCTAGTGCTCTATCCACTGCACCACCCAGCTGCCCCCAAAACTAAACTTCTTCCCACCAAATTATGTTTTCTTCCTAATTTCCCCAATGTTACTGATAGTGCTACCATTCTTCTTGTCAACTGGGCTCAAAGCCTTAATGTCAAGATTTTTATAAAGTCTGATTATGTCCCCTCCCTTATCATCCAATCCCATCACTAGATGTTATTGAGTCTTTCAAAATATCTTATACTTCCATTCATTCATTGTTTTCCATTCTTACTGATGCCACTCTAGTCTAGGTGCTTAGTACCTGGACTACTGCAATAGCATCACAACTGGTCTTCCTATAGATATTTCTCATTTCTGCTTCTAAAAATTCAGTTACATTATGAGTTACTTGATGGCAGGGAAGACAAGTCCCATACTCTGTCCAGAGCACCTAGAGGCACTTCGTTGAATCTTTGTTGGTTTGACTTAATTTCTTTCTCTTAACAATCAAAGACTCCTGTTCTTTCCCCCCATGATCTTCCTGAGTCCTTGTCAGATTAAGCTCCTTCAGCCAGGAAAAAGCTGTTTACTAGACTTTGAATGGATGGATCTTGCCTAGATAGTTATGTCAGGTTTTCTCTGTTGCTGTTGCGTTTTCTCATGAATCTTTGTCTCCTATTATAAATGAACAATCCTTAGAAGTAACCAGAATAAATTAATTTATTTAAAAAATAAAGATAACAAGGGTTAAAATTGTTGAAAAATAAGAAATTTCCTTATAGAGGGTCAAATGTTTTTCTTCCTTCCTCCCTTGCTTCTCAAGACCTCAGAGACCTGAGGTGTGTCTGATCTGATCCAAGGGGCAAATAACTCACAATGAAGTGGAAGAAGAGGTTAATACCTCAGTTTCCCTCTGGGCCAATTAATACCTCCTCCTTTCCTTTGCCTAGAGGGATCAGGACACTAAAAGCCTGTACCCTAAAGGATACCAAAATTATTTAGAGAAAATGAATGACAAAAACATTTATTGATTGTTTGTTCTATGCCAAGCAGTGTTTTAAGTGCTGGGTATACAAATACGAAAGCAAAGACAGTTCTCTCCCTCAAAGAGATTACATTTTAATGGAGGGGACAATACACATAGTGGAGCGGGTTACTGTGGCTGTATCAGCTGATTCTATCCCTGCCAGTGGGGTAATGCCCTCCTTAATTAAATTATATTACCATTCAGTCTTAGGTTCCCAGTTCCCAATGCCCAAGAAAGGAATACAATAAGCTCTGGATTTCCAGAATGTATTCTCCCCAAGAACTCTAAGAGAATTACTGAGTATAAAGCTCAATCAATTCAACCCACATGCCAAGTCCGTTCTTGCCACGGGAAGGAGACACGTCTGCTTCTCCAAGGGAAGTTCCCTGAAAGGTAAGCAGATTCCTTCCAGGAGGAAAAATACACTCATAGGTCACTTGGGGTACAGGGCCAGTATTTACTGCTGCCCCCTCCTACACCAAGCAGAACCCTAGGACAATAGCTAAACAAGTCAGTAAAGGGGAAGGAGATGAGGTGGCTGAATAAAATGTGGCTTTAACCTAAAGATCGACCTGGTGCCTAGGTCTCTGGAAGCCCTGAATTAGTCCTACAGTAAAGGCTCAGTCCTCCTGATATTGACACAGAGATCAAGCAACCTTAGGAGGAGGGATTCTTCCCTGGACCTGATTTCTGAATGGAACTTCAGGAAAAGAACAGCAAAGTGGGGTTGTCACATGGAAAATTCTGGGATAGGGGAGCAAGAATAAATAAGACTGCGAAGGTGAGGCTGTCTTCATAGTCGTGTAGTTGGAAGGGTCAGCTAAATGATGCCATACTGGGCCAACTCATGCAGCTCCAAGTGGTTGAAGGCTTCCCAGGGACAGATGACAGTGATGTCTGGAAGCAAGAAGAAAAGAAAGAGGTCAAATCTTTTAAGGGCCACTCCCCACTGCCCCCCCAGCTACAAAACTAATTCTCTTCTCCCTGCTGTTCCCTTATCACACACCAGCTCCTAAAGAGATTTTCTAAGGGGAAAAAAAAAAGACTACAGGGAATGAATAAGATTCCCCAAAAGATCAATACCAAAGGAAGTAGGTCAAAGTGAGCAGAGGCAGGAGGTGGGAACTGTTGAGAACTAGAGTAGTGGAATCGGCAGGGCTTCCTGGAGGTCCTATTGGTTAATTCAGGGTCTCCTAGGGACAGAGAGCCTCATGAAAGTAAAAGGGGGTGGGAAGGAGCAGGGTGAAAAGGCAGTCTTTCAGAACCTAATACAGACCTTTCTTTCTAGAACAAACTTTATTCAGATTTTTTATTATGTATGTATGTAAATATAAATTTTATATTTGTATGTATGTATGTGTACATGCATAACTTTATTCAGTTATACATATGTGTGTGTGTGGATTGTATATGTGTGTATGCACGTGCGCGCACACACACACATTTTTTTCATCCTCTTTAAACTGCCTATGTTTATACCCCAACAAAATGGGAACATTTTTAGCTGGGAGTTGGGGAAAAGTCTAGGGGGAATCCTCTCTGTCCCAGATAAACACCCTACATTGGGAAAGCAGCCAGTGATACGGTGCTAAGAAGAAGGTCATGTTACAAATTTGGATCAAGGGCAGTTGATAAAGTTATGTTGGGACGAGGGCATAGAGAGGGGGGCAATTCGACTTCTAACTTCCTTCAGTTGAGTTATCCTCTTCTGAATTGAATAGAAATGGCACATACCTGTTCCCAAGCCCTCCATTCCAGGAATGTCATCACCGAAACTGCAAGAAATACAATGGTCAGTGATGGAGATGGTCCCTAAGCCCTGCGATTCCCTCTTATACACGTGTACACACACACACACACACACACACACACACACACACACACACACACACACACAGAGACACCCAAAAGATCACCTGCAGCTGGAGGTTCATGCCAGGCTATTCTGTTTCTAGCACTAGACATAGTCACAGTGTTTTATCACAGCATGGGCTGGTTAAGAATCCCAGCCACATTTTCTGCCTTGCTAGGGAGTGTGATGAATAGCAGGCTTTTGGGGTATCAAGGCAATAAGAAAAGCTCTTTTTCTCTTCTAAGTCTTCAAGCCTTTGACTCTGTTCCCTGCCCCCTTAGAGTATTGTCTATGGTTACGCATTCCCCAGCACGTCTGTTTCCTGAGAAATCATGAAAAATAGGGCTCAAACAAGGGGGAAAAATCAGGTCAGACCACAAGCCTCATGATTAGGTTTAGGCCCAATTGAGCCCAAATTGAAAATAGTATCTGGGTCCCTGCATTCAAACAGGTGATTTCTGTTTCCATCACTTTTTCAACCCCTCTGTATGCCTAAGGATTTCCAAATTTCCACTTCTGAATAAGTTTCTCCTCCAAACAAAACCAGGGAAGAGGAAATACATGGACTGGGTGGGGGTGGGGGAGTGTTGGGATGGGCGAAGGGTGTCCAAGCTTCTTGTCCCAAGGAAATGCTTTAGACTTAAAAAGAAAATTGGAGGAGACAGGAGGGTCAGGAAAGTGAATTCCTCCTGGAAGCAGAAGACATTTGGAAACAAATGTTCAGGCCAACAAATACATAGGAAATGCCCGCATTTCCTTCTCTGGAATTCAGTCATCCCAGAAGTAAAAGAATGATCATGTCCTCTAAGAGACTCTAGTAGTGAGACCAGCCCCAGACCCTTTCAGCTGGTTAGCAGGTTCATGGAGGAAAAAGTCTGTCATCCTAAAAGTGGGGATGAACACGCCTCCTCTCTCTCTCCCCACCCTCTTCTGTAGCCCTTCTTACCCTTGTACACCTTTCTTCGGGGGCTTGCTCTTGAACTGACGGGTTTGCCGCTGCTTGAATTTGGGGTGGTCCTTTCCTAGGGGTAACTGGTCCTCCAACCACTCTGGTGGCTGATCTGATATCAGGCTTGGGTGGCTCCAGGTTCATGATGGTGCTTTCGGTCTTTCAAACTCTGGAGGAAAGGAGAAAAGAATCAAAACTCCTTGCTTCCAGTTAAGGAAGAGATCTTCCTACCTCCTCTGCTATCCCCTCTTCCAGTCTGGTACAGAGGAAAAAGTTCCAGTTTGGGTGTCAAAGGACCCGAGTTCAAATCCTAGGTCTGCCTCCATGATTGCCTACTCCACATAACACTTTGGGGGTCCAGATCTCTTATTTGTGAATTCTCAAATTCCTTTGGGTTCTAAAACTATGATTTCTTCCTCTGGAGTTTTGGTGATGGTAAACCGCAATCCAGAGCTGAGGGACTCTTTTAAATTAGGCCCCACCATATTCATACCCCAAGTATCCAGGAAGACAGTTATCCTCCAAGTCCCCCAGGGTGGAGCAACAGCTGAAGATAAATGGTTAAATTAACTCAAGCATTTATGAAGTGTTTAGTATATGCAAGACCCTAAGCTAAACTCTGGGGATACAAAGAAAGGCAAAAACAGGCCCTACTCTCAAGGAACTCACCTTCTAACGCGAAGGAGACAACACGCAAACAACTATGTATTAACAAGCTATATGCAGTATAAAATGGACATAATCTCCTAGGGAAGGTCTCAGCGTGAAGGGGAGATCAGGAAAGGATTCCTGCAAAAGGTGAGAATTTAACTGATATTTGAAAGAAGCCAGGGAAGCCAACAGGCAGAGATGAGGAGGGAGAAAATTCCAGCCATGGAGGGACAACCAGTGAAAATACATGGAGCAGAAGAATGGCGAATCTTGTTTGAGGAACAGCAAGGAGGCCAAATGGCCTCCATTCACAAATGGATTGTGACATATTCTATCCAAGCACCACTTGGCAGATGGCATGGGGTGCCAAGGCACAGTCTCCCTTACTGACAAAGTTTGGGTTCTCCTATTTCATAGACTGACCTACTTTCTAGCCTTGCACTCCCAGCCTTTCTCCACATCCCCAAAGCCCCGTTGACCTTGGAACAAAGGAGGCTTAGCATCCTCTAAGCTTATGTTAGGAAGGAAAGACTAAGGCTGTCTCCCAGGGTTGCTGTGAGAATAAAATGAGATCACAGATGTGAAAGTTCTTACGCAAAGCACACTATACACACGTGAGAGATTAACAGAAAGGAGGTTAGGATTGTCAGCATTAGCAGTACAGAGACCTGTGTTTTATCTAGTTTCAACCCTGGTTAGATGATTTCACTGGGTGACCTTGGGCAAGTAACAAACTTTCTGAACCTTTTCCAAATATGTAAAATAAAGTTGTTGCATTAGATAGCCTTAGAAGGTCTCTTTCAGCTTGATGAATTCTGAGATCTCCAGAATCACAGGCAGTGAGGGAAAATGGTTACGATTATTGTATCCAGTCAAGAAGATGGGTTTAAATTCTGCCTCTGATAACTTCATAGCTATATGGTCAAGGACAAGTCATTTGTCCTCCCAGAGCATTGGTTTCCTCATCTATAAAATATTGGTACCTGCAGTATCTACATCACAAAGACATTGTGAAGCTCAAAGGAGGTCATTTATTTGAAATGCTTTGAAATTTTTAAAGTGCTGTGTCCTTTAGAATTAGTATTATTGTAATTGAAAGGAGTGGTTATTTGAACAACATCCATTAAAGTAGGGGTCCTCTATCCCTATTCTCTTAGAATCCATGAGACAATTCAATTCAACCAACATTAAACCCCTAATGTGCATAAAACACTGTGCTAGAGGAAATACAAAATTATTGTAAGGCAATCTAGCAGGGATAATACACAACGATAACTCCAGAACAGGATACCTTAGGGGCCTGGAGTGACTCCTGGCTCAGTACCAAAAGGGCTCACAACTTTCTGAGTTGTGCTAACAGATAGGCTCTCCCTTTCCTGGGATAGTAGGCCATGTCTTGTGTCCCCTAAGATATTTTTGCTGATATCTAAGCTATCCCCCTCGAGTGAATGAATCCCAGGAGATACAGTTATCTAGAAGGACATACATCAAGGGGGCCAGAGGATCCCAAATGCCAGCAAAAGCCCCCCAAAACTCTCTGAGCCAGAGCTTGTAGTGAGAGGAGATAGAAAGGTCTGCATTCTCCCAGATGAAAAAATAAGGGTGGGTTGGGCATATAGAGATAATGGCCAATTGGAGGAAAAATAGCATTTTCCATCATGAAGCCTTTGGGGACTTCTATCTTTTTTTTAAGGAGTACAACACCTGGCTCAGGATGAGTGGGCTGGGAGTGAGGCCTTTCTATTTGGCAAACTTTTGGAAAAACTGGAAAGCAGTCTGGCCCGATCCACACTTGCACCCACCCCCAGCCCACTGTTCTGAGTACCCACCTCACTTTTCTTCATCCCCAGGGCTGAACCTAGCAGATAGAAAAGGCTACATCTGGGTGACTTACCTACACTGAGTCAGAATTCAGGGGGCCATGGGAGGGAAATGGTAAAAAGATTTCCCAACTTTGTCCAACACTTCTTTAAACCCTTTTCTGACTTTGCCCACAGGGGAACTCAGAGCCCAGGCAATTTATTTTGTTCCTGAGTAATTGGATTATGACTCTCCTTGCTCTGACAGTTATTCCTAATGAGATTTTTAGTGACACTGCCGAGGATTAAAGAGAGGACAGTGAGAAAGGGCTACACCTGTGTTCAATCTGGGGAATAGGATGGTATGGGAATGGAATCAACACTACCATACCTGGAAGGGACATGTCAATCAGTTATCCTGTGGCTTCACTCACCATCCTCTTACTATCTCCTTATCTATATTGTCTCCCTTATTAGAATATAAACTCCTTGAGGGTAGGAACTAGCTTTCTTTTTATATTTGTATCACTAGCACCTAGTACAGTTTATGGCATATGCTTATTAAATGCTTTCGCATTCATTTGTTCACGGTGGGTGAAGCACCTGCAGAGCAGACGTGTTTGAGGAGAGTGTTAGGATACTAGAGAAGGGTCATAACACTGATGAGTGAAAAGGTAATGGTTTCCTGCTTTGTTCCACTTCGCAATAGCTACTGTTTATACAGACTTCACAATTTGCAAAGCATGCTGCACATATTATCTCATTTAGCCCTCGTAACAGCATTGTGAGGTATTACAGATATTATGCACATTTTACAGATGAAAAAGCTGAGGTTCATTGAAGTTACATGACTTTTCCACTGACTATCAGGGGCAGAATTAGATCCCAGGTCTCTCCTGACTCTGAGTCTAGCACTTTACCTACTACCTTATTATAGCTCTAGGTCTTCACCCCCAATTCAATTCAACAGACTTTTATTGCATGCCTACCAGGTGCTGGGATACAAAGACAAAAGCAAAAAAACCATTCCTGCCCTCAGGAGACTTACATTCTATTAAGGAACACAATATGTATACAAATATAAACATGTACACAAAGTGAATTTAGGCAGAGGGAACATTAACACCTGGGGGGATCTGAGGAAACAGTTTTCCTGGGTGTTGACAGCTTGCAGCTCTTTTGAAAACTGCCTGGTCATATCCTTTGACCATTTATCTATTGAGATATGGATCGTGTTCTCATGTGTTTGTATCAATTATTTACATATCTTCTTCACCACAGTCTTATCAGAGAACTTTGCTGCAAAGATTGCTGTTCCCCAGCTGTTTTCCTCCAAATTCTAACAACACTAGCTATGCTTGTACAAAAAAAAAACCCAACAACAACAACAAAACTTTTTCAGTTTTATGTAATCAAATTTTCATTTGTATTATCTGTGATCCTCTCAATCCCTTGTTTGGACAAAAACTCTCCCCATGCCCAGGTGAAAGGTATCTCCTTCCTGCTCCTCCAATTTGTTTACTCTGTGACCTTTCACATCTAGGTCATGTATCCACTTGGAGCTTATTATGGTCTATCGCCTCATTTCTGCCAGACTGCTTTCCAGTTTTTCCAGAAGTTTGCCAAATAGAAAGGCCTTACTCCCAGCCCACTCATCCTGAGCCAGGTGTTGTACTCCTTAAAAAAAAGGTAGAAGTCTCCAAAGGCTTCATGATGGAAAATGCTATCCACATCCAAAGAAAGAACTATGGAATTTGAATGCAGACCGAAGCATACTATTTGCTATTTTTTTTCCTTCTGTTGTGTTTTGTTTTCTCTTTCTGGTGTTTCTCCTATTGGTTCTAATTCTTACTTACAACATCACTAATATGAAAATATGTTTAATAGGAATGTAAATGTATAGACTATATGAGATTGTGCGCCATCTTGGGGAGGTTGGTGGGGAGGAAGGGGAGAAAAATTTAAAACTCAAAAGCTTATGGAAGTGATGGTTGATAAATCAAAATAAATTAATTAAAAAAAATTTTTTTTAAAGGTAGCAGAATGGCTTAGGGGGTGCAGTATACAACAGCCACCTTGATTTGAGTAAAGTAGAAAATTTTAACGAACTTCAAAGGAGGAAAGCTGTTGAGTGATGGCAGCAAAGTAAGATTCTAGAAGTAGCAGTGGTGAGTTTTATTCTTTCCACCACTACAATATCTCTCACCTGGTTGTGAGAATTTCCTCCTTTCTCTTCCTACTGCAATTACCATAGCTAGTCTTTTTTTTTTTCTCTAGACTAATGTAACAGATCTTTCACTGGTCATCCTCCCTCTGGTTTATCCCTCCTCCACTCCAGCTTCCACATATTGCTCATGTAGTTGTCCTAATGTATTGTTTTGATCACATCATTCTTCTGTTAAAAAATCTTCAGTGGCTCCCTGTGGCCTCTGGCAAATAAAATATAAAACTTCTTGATCCTGTATTCAGGGGCCTTTCGTAATTTGGCTTTAACTTATTCTTCCAGGTTTATTTCACACTCTGCTCCTTTGCATACTCTATGCACCAGTGGAAGTGGGCCACTCTGTCCCCACAGTTTCCTCTGGTCATCTCTCATCTCCTTACCTATGCTCATGCTTTCCCTCATGATTGAAAATTATTCTTTCTCCACTTCCACCCCCCATCTCTACCTGTTCTATACCCTTTCTTTCTTCAAGGTTCAGCTTACACATCACCTCTTCCACTAACCCTTTCTCTGAATTCTCTTCCCACTCCAATTTCCCAAAGCACTTTGTCTGTACCCCTTGCACTCGTCCCATTCTGCCTTGTACCTGGTTGTTTTTATGTCTATTCAATTGTAAATTCCTTGAGACCAGGATCTCTGTCTTACCCATCTTTGCAACTGAAGTCTCCTACATAGTGCCCGATCGTTGGCTCATAATAAATGTTTGTTAAATTGAATGGGAAAAAGCCAACTTTTATTTGATACCTATGAATACAAACATCCCTATCTGTCCCTTTTCTGTTCCAGTGTCTCTGGGTCTTTCTTATACACAATTTACAGTCTCATTTTTCAGTTCTGCAGAGTAGACAGGGCAGGGCAAGTTTTCATAATAATAGTGGAGCTACAACCAGGCTCCCCTTTGCTCCATCCTATGTTTATTCCAATAGACTAGGTTGCTGCCTCTCCACTCTGGTGTGTTTGTCCCCCTTAATAAAGGCTTATTGCTCCTTTTCACCTCCAAGCCTCCTTGGCCCCTTTCTTCCCAATCTTACTACTGTTTCAACTGAGAACCACCTCCCCCACCTGCTCCTAAGCCTCTAATTATCTTCCAGGCTTTGTCAACAGATCTTCCTTAAATATCAGATCTGTCTCAGTTGGAAGGATTCTAGGACAACTTAAGGAAAAGGTGAGAGCAAGGGATACAATTTTTCTTTTTTCTGGAATATGATTCCTTTTAGGTGCCAGGCACCTGGGAGGTCTCCAGACTAGAGGTTAATTATATAATACCATGAGTTTAAATTTTGGAAAGGCAAAGAAATTTTTTAAAAAATTTTATTAATTTATTTTGATTTATCAACAATCACTTCCATATGCTTCTGAGTCTAAAATTTTTCTCCCTCTTCCTCCCCACCACCCTCCCCAAGACGGCTCACAATCTCATATAGTCTATACATTTACATTCCTGTTAAACATATTTTCACATTAGTGATGTTGTAAGCAAAAATTAAAACCAATAGGAGGAATCGTTAGAAAGAGGAAACAAAACTCAACAGA